TTTGAGCCTACAAATGTCCCTGTGAAGTGGGTGCTATCGTTATCCCCATTTTACTGATGAAGGAACCTGAGGGAGGTTGAGGTGAAGTGACTTGCCCAGGGTCACACAGCTAGTAAGTGTCTGAGGTTGGATTTAAGCTCAGGTCTTCCTGACTCCAAGGCCAACATTCTATCTGCTATATTCAAATACAACAGAACTAACCCCTCTATGTTCCTGGAACTGTACCTCTCATAATGAAGCCAAAGATCACATAGGAAGGTTTTTTTTTGGGGGGGGGGCTGCTATGTCACACTCTTGACTCCTATGGACCTTGTTTCATAGCTCATGGGTGATAGGATCATACTCCTCAAACTGGAACAGACCTGAGAGGCTAGGTCCCTCCCTTCATCTGGTTCAATCCTTCATTTTATAAGGGAGGAAACTCAGGCTGGAGGAGGTAAGTTCTTTGCCCACTGTCATACAGGTACTGAGTAGCAAAGCCAGAATTCCTGCCTAGGTCTAGTTAGGAATATTTTGTCTCGTTTTGAGGAGTGGGGAGTAGGTTACAGATTTGCTTATTTTTAATAGATCATCTTACTCTCAAAGGATCCAAGTTAAAAATCTAGAGAATTATTTCTCAGATCACTTTCCTCTTCTGCTCCACATGACACCAGTGAGAGGGGAATATATTGCCTGTTTTTGGACAGGTGGTAGTCAAGTCAACTTTACAAAGTCAGTTCTCCCTGCTGTTTGCTGATCCATGTGCCTGCCCTCTTTTGATCACTCATAAAGTTCCTCTAGGGACCCTCAGCTTCCCCCTGATCTCCTGTAGTCTTGGCTCCATGTGTTCCCTTGAATATTTTGGCTCCTCTCAACTTACCGAAAAGGTATGTATTATTCAGCAGCCTGGGAGATGGCTGCTCACCCAGAATGAATAACCATTTATGCTGGGACTGTAGCAAAGAATGCTGATGACCTGTATGTAATGAGGACTCTTGTAGCTGTAGCCTCCTTTAAAAGTGTGACAGAGGAGGAGAAATTCATGATCTCTGCTGTCAGAAAGGATGCCAATTCTGGTCATCTTTGAGGAGTGCTATTCCAAAGGAATCTTGCCTTCAATCCAACCCCTATTTAATTGCACAGGACTTAACTTGACTGTCTCCTAATTTGTCATTTACTGGGTCTGGCCTGTCCTTGATGTACAACCAAAGTGCCTCATTCAGCAAACAATGAGTAGTGTGTTTCCAAGAGGATGTCCTTTGCTTTCTCTGAATCTGCAAGGTAAAGGTGATGTTATTAAACATCTTCTCTTAACCCAGGAGGAGTTGCAAAGACTAATCAATGAATAATTGTCCATTCTGGATATCAAAGCTGTCATGAAACAAGAAGCATAAGGGAGAAACATTTTCAAGTCCAGGGTTCTCTGTAGATCTTTTGTTTTGTTTTGTTATGTTATAGATCCTTCTTCCTCTATAATTCACTCTTGAACAAGCAGGTGTAGCTATTGGTATAGCTTTGACCAGAGGACAGGGAGAACGTTCCTTTTCATGTGAGCATGCCCTATTGGGGGGATGGAGGGATGACGAAAGAAGGGCCCATCTTTCAGCCAGCCAACTCATCTGAAAGGCAACATGGCATAATGGGAAAAAAAGACTGGATTTCAGGCAAATGAGAATTCTAAATCCCACCTTGTCATTAAATAAGGATGGTGACATGTACTAGCAGAAACGGTAATAGTAATAAAAACAATAGCTAACATTTTAATTGTATTTAAGGTTCACAGAGTGTTTTATGTAGGTTATTTTTTTTCTCAAGCCTGTGAAGTAGGAGTTGTTATTATCCCCATTTTACAAATAAGGAAAATGAGGCTGAGAGAGGTAAAATAATTTATTCGGGGTTCCATAGCTAGTAACTGCCTGAGGCAGGATTCAGATGATCTCAAATCCAACATTCGATCCACCACTGGCCAGGTGTGAGTACCTGTGTGATCTGGGCCAAGTCATTTCACTCCATGGACTTCAGATGCCTCGCCTGCAAAATCGGGAACTTGGACTAGGTGGCCCCTGAAATAGCTTCTAGCCCAGTGGCCCTCCGACCCTGTGATTCCAGTCAACCCTGCTGACCTGGGGAATAGACTGTGTCAAAGCTAGATCACCTTCCTGGGGTATGTTTGCCATTCAAGTAAGAATACTACCACATGCACTGTCTCTATGGTGGGCACACCTTCTGTGCCAACCATTTCTGTTGTCATTGTTCAGCTGTATCAGTTGTGTCTGACTCTTCGTGACCCCATTTGGGGTTTCCTTGGCAAAGATCCTGGAGTGGCTTTCGTTTCCTTCTCCAGCTCATTTTATGGAAGAGGAAACTGAGGCAAACAGGGTTAAGTGACTTGCCCAGGATGACACAGCTAGTAAGTCTCTGAGGCTGGATTTGAACTCAGGTCTTCCTGATTCCAGGCTAGCTGCCCCAGTACTAACCAATTCAACAATTGTACTTTCAATTCAACAAATATATATACTAAATCTCTTAACTTCTCTGGGACTCAGTTTCCTCATCCATAAAATGAAAGGATTGGATCCTATAACTGCTGAAGTCTCTTTTAGCTTTGAGTCTATGACTCTCTGCTCCAAAGGGCTGACTGTGTGCAAAGCACTGTGTTAAAAAGTGCTGTCCAATAATAATAGAATACGAAGATATCTTTGTTTAATAATGTGTCCTTTATGTCTAACAGTGAGGCTATGGGCTTGGTATCAGTAGCCCCTGGGTTTCAATAGCACCAGGGTTCTGGTCTGTTGCATTGATCCAGACTCCATAGTGAGCCCAAGCACACACTTGGGAGCTGCCTCTAGGGATGGAGGGATAAAGTCACAAAATAGAATTTCCTCTATATCATAAGTGAACTTGCTCCTAGGGGGAATCAGGCTTGTGACCAGGCTCCAGCTCTAACCAGTTCATCTTGCTGACCTTGCCAGTTTCCATTGTGAATGAAGAGATCCATTCTCTATGGTCTCCAGGTGCTGAAAGAGCCATGCTTCTGGACACTTTAGCAGAGACTGAAATGGACGCTTTCAAATTCCCATGGTACTTTGTGGTGCCTCTTTTCTTGAAATCCTAGAATCGTAGATCTAGGGCTTGAAGGTACCTTCAGTTCAGTCATTTTTAGTCGTGTCTGACTCTTCATGACCCCATTTGGGGTTTTCTTGGCAAAGATACCGGAGTGGTTTGCCATTTCCTTCTCCAGTGTGTTCCCATTTTACAGATGAGGAAGTGGGGCAAATAGGGTTCGGTGACTTGCCCAGGATCATGCAGCTAATAGGTGTCTGAGACCAGATTTGAATTCAAGAAGATGAGTCTTCCTTACTCCAGGTCAGGCCCTCTATCCACTGCACCAGCTAGCTAAGTTACCCTGAAGGTACTTTAGAGATCATCTGGTCCATAGGTGTCAAACTCTTGGAGGGCAATCTGCAAACTCTGTAGTGTCCAGATGAAAATATAATTGGGAAATGTTTAACAAAATAAAAATACAAAACAACATATTTTAATTGTGATTTTCTAAGTCATCTAGGTGGTATAGTGTATAGAACCCTGGGCCTGGAGTCAGGAAGTCCTGAGTTCAAATCTATTACTTACTAGCTGTGTGACTCTGGCCAAGTCACTTAACTCCTGTTCACCTCACTTCTTCATCTGTAAAATAGGGACATACTGGAGAAGGAAATGGCAAATCACTCCAGTATCTTTGCCAAGGAACCCCCAAATGGGGTCATGGAGAGCATGACTGAACGACTAAACAAGTCATTATGTAACCCCTGTTTCTATTTGAGTTTGACATCTATGATCTAGTCCACCCCCATCATTTTATCAATGAAACTGAGACCCAGACAGGTGAAGAGTCTTGACCAATGTCACACAGATTACAGAGTATCAGAGCCAGAATTTGAACCCAGATCCTCTGCCTCCTCTTTCTATCACATCTTGAGGTGAATATTTGCAATGATGAATAACTCTCTTGATATTGAGTCCTGCTAACAGAGAGAAAAATCTAGGAGGCATTTTGAAATCACTGTATATACCAGCTGGAGCAGGTGTGATTCACTCATCCTTTGTGGGATGAACTGTCTCTTTCTGGGAATAATGAATGTTTTCCTTCTCATGATCTAAGCACCTGACTTCAACCAGACCCTTGAGAAGTTATTTGACTTTGGGCATTCTATGGAATGCATCCATCAGCACCTTAATGCTTGACTAAACTTTTTGTCCCAGAACAAGGGGTGGAGAGGGGAGGAGAGGAGCTTACACTAATAATAGCCTCATGGATGGCACTCAGTTCTGTTCTCGTTCTGTGTCTTGACACTGAATCCTGGAGAGAACCTCAATTACTGGTCCTTGATTTGGCTGTGTGTTGGGTTGCTAATGATTTCCTTGATGACTTTCTAATGAAGACTTTTAAAAATAGATTCGTACAGGTGACAAATACAATAGCTTCATTTTTAGGTCTAGCATTCCATTCCCTCCCCCTATCCACTGCTTCTGCTTTCCACGAAGGTGCATGCCCATGTATGCAGATGTAGGATATTTCAGGTCTTCCCCGATAGAATGTTAACTCCCTGAGGACAGACTTCCACTTTTGTCCTTTTATCCTCAGTGCCTAGCACATAGTGGGAACATTTTTAAAAATGTGTATTGATTGACTAATTTAGTCTGAAGATTCTCTACCGGGAACCTAAGGGAATTACACAAGTCTGCAGCTGTGCCTTGTTTTTTCCCCTCCATTGACCCAATTTAATTTAATTTGACTAATCTGTAAATATCTTTGCTTCACAGTTAATGAGAGGAAGGGGATCAAGGAAGCAGACAGTGATGTGTGTTTGTGAAATGCCCAGAGATAAAGAGGGAACTGATTATGGAGAACTGATGTGATTTTATTGTAGCTGTAGACTGTCTGCCAAATAAAGCATTCTAGAGATTAGACTAAAACTCAGAGCTGACACCATGCAGTGAATGTTTCCCCTTTGTCTCTACAGATCGTTTCACAGAGGAAGCTGTCCAAATCCTTACTGAAGCATGGAAACACTGCAGGAAAGTCTTCCATAACGGTAAGTTTCCATCTGGATGAGGTCAGTGTCCCTGACGAGATGGTCAGAATAAATCAGAGGCAAGAAAATGGAGGACACATTTGTACTTGCCTATGGTTTACTATGGATCACCCATGGATACTCTTTGTTTCTACTTCTCTCCTGCCAATAAAACTCAGATGCTGTCGCCATAACATAGGAAGGGAGTAGAGAAAGAATAAAAAAGGCAGATCAGTCGGTCATCAGTTCTAATTTTTAATAGCTCTGATAAAAGATTTATTGAGAGAGGATATAAACTCCTGACTAAACTGAGGTTTTGGAGTCAGCTGTCAATTTCAAAGATCCAGATTGCTACCATCTTGGTCTACTAAGGATAATTGTCTTGAATGTACCAAACATGCAAAGGCTTTTAGTCCAAACTTTGTATGTAGGTCTTAGGTCCCAGTCTTCAATGTTCTGCTTTAATCTGGAAGTTTGGCATAATTTTGAAATATAATTTTTTAAAAATTCATAGAGAACCAGCTTTTAAACATGTTGGAGAATTGTTCCAACCAATGACTTTGCAGACAAGAAAAAAATGGGGGAAGGGCTAGAATGATCCCAATTTTCAGAAGTCTACTCCTGAGCAGCTTTGAACTCCCACTTTGAACTGAAAGTGTTTGATCCACAATGATGAAAATCCTTGAAGTTTTTGTTGTTGTTTTTGTTTAAATGGAAATTCAGAACTACTCCCAGCGTGTTGAGGGGAAAGTATCTGTCTCACAAAAAATGCATGTCCTAGTTGCTTCAGCATTTAAAAGGAAAGAATTATAGATGGTAAACTAGACTCATTCTCTGTTGTTGCTAACAATTGAGTAATCTTACAAAATTTTTGCTGCCTTTAAAGATGTTGTGAACTCTAATGGCTTGCTCATTCTATTAAGCTAACCCCCTAAAAGCTGTTGGGTAGGGATCCAGATTGGGATTTAACATCTTTTTTTTCCCCTACATTGCTTGAAACCTCAAGCAGTATGCTTCCAAATATTCCTCCATCGAAGAGCTTTTTACAGGGACTGGCAGAAGCAAAGGGTGGTAGTGAAAAATATTTTACTGGGCTAAATTTGGCTGGTCCTAAATATAAATTGCACCCCTAAGATGAGATCTCTTTGAAAATTGTACACACATGTGTGTGTTATTGCTATTATTTTGGTACAGACCTATGGATACATGGGTCTACATAGCATTCTTGATGAGGATACACCTTCCATCTATGAGGATAAGCACCTGCTCTACAATTTACAGTCAGAGAGTAACCTTGGATCACTGAGACTTTGTCACTTGCTCAAGGTCACATAGCCAATATGTGTCAGAGGGAGAACTTGAATTTGTCTTCCCTGCTAGTGAGGCTGGCATAGCCATTATTTCTTGTTTCTTCTAGTGATAGAAACATACTCTTATAAGTTCCCATGTACCAATTAATTAGGATGCCAAATTTAGCAGTCAATAGAGTTCCTCAAAACAATGGACTAGAAATCAGAAAAACTGACTAGCTTATAACTCCATTCCATATGTGTGTGTATATATACATATGTATATGTGTACATATATACACACATATTACATATATGCATGCATATATGTCTGTATGCATAGATATATACATACATACAAGTAAATATAGCTATTCTCTCTTCTTTGTTCCTTCAGTTTCATAAGGGTGAGAAACTCCCTGGAGTATAAACTCCCTCTACTCATTCTGGTCAATAATTACTCTATAGCTTCTAGTTTTAGAGAGTAGCATGGGAAAATAAGACTTACTCCAGGTCACTCAGCCAGTTTATGTCAGAGGCAAGTCTTGAATCTGAGCCTTCCTAGCTATCAAGACAGCCTTCTGTCCACTATACCATACTGCCCCACATATGTATCTATGTGCATATGCAAAAAGAAGGGAGGGAGTGTGTGCTTAAGGCCATGTATATACTAGAAAATTACACCGATTCCTGGACACACGGGCTTTATAAAAGCTATGTCTGAGGAGAAAGCGTTGCCTAAATTAGAACAGTTTGGTACGTGAATATGGGGAAGCCCCCAGGTTTCCACTCTTTTCTCATGCTCACCTGTTTAGCTTTACTATTAGCCACAGACTAACTCTTCAGTTTCTTGGTAGTCCACCACAGCAATTTGCATCAAATGGTCCTAATTCAAAATGGAACAGATGAACTCAGAGAGAACTGATAGATTAGACCTTAGAACAAAGCTAATTAGAAAATAGTTTCCATTTGTTCTGGTCGACAAATGCTTAATGAGGGTGAAGCATTACTTATAAATATGAACTAGGGGGTAGAGAAGAGGGGAAGGAGATCCTCTCTGAGCCTGGCAGCTGGCTTCCAGGCCATTGTTTTGAATGCTGCTGTCTGTTGGTTTTGGGATCTTACTTAATTGTGCTGCGAGATCATATCAGGAGTGTTTCCCCTTAATTTATATGAAAAGATGTTTCAGGAATATACCATTTGTAGATCATAGGACGCTAGATGTAGAAGAGACCTCAGAAGTCATTCCTATTATATTACAGATGGAAAAATTGAGGCCTATGGAGGCATTGCCCAAGATCAAACATGGTAAATATGGGCAGTTCTGATTAGAAACTGTGCCATCCAAGGAATGTCAGAGGAAGGATTTGAACCCAGGTCCTCTGACTCCATTCAGTGGTCTTTATACCACACAACTCTATCTCCCTATGTTGGGGTTTGGTAGATTAGGGACAGTATATATATATATATATATATATATATATATATATATGTGTGTGTGTGTGTGTGTGTGTGGGTGTGTGTGTGTGTGTGTGTGTGCGCGCGCGTGCCTTTTACAAGGTACGTGTCTTCTCTGCATTTCTATCCATTAGAGAATGTACAATTTTACTGGAACACCTGTAGCTTGAATAATAAAATAAATATCTAGTCACCATGAAGAGTAGAATTTTCCATGATTAAAAAAATAAAAAATAAAAAAAAACCTCTTCTTGTTCCCTCCTGCCTGCTGGCCTGCCCTAGTGCCAGCTCTGGTGTGTTTGGTGCCTAGATTTAAACTCTGTTGTCTCTTGAAATTGCCCCAGATTTCTCATAATTAGCATAGCTCTCCCTTCCTTTGAGCTTTGAGAGAGGATCCGGAAGCCCTTCTTAATAGTCATACATGCATAGGACTGAAAACATCAAGATTCATTCATTCTCATGATGAGAGCCATAAGTCAGCACTGGAGGACTGGGCACTTGGAGATTTTGCCAAGGGACCAAAATTTGGAGGACACCCACAGTACTTATATTCCTTATACAGAAGGTTAAAAAAATAATTCATTAACGTAGGAAGCTCTCAGGAAGTCTAGTTCTTCCCCCATCCTCATCCCCCCCCCCCCCAGCAGCAGCAGCAGTAGCCTCCTCAGCATTATCCTCGACATCTCCGTCTCACGCTCCCCTCCCAGGGGTGATGTCCCAGAGTCTCCGCACGCACAGGACCTTGGGTTCCGAGGCCAAAAGTTTCTCTTTGGGGGGCTTTTCACACATACCCTCAAACTCCCTAAATGGATTGTCCCCAGTCTGTTTTGAACCGTTCATCGCAGGGAAAAGAATTGACAATTAAACGTAGTTCTTCAGTCTCTGTGGCAGGGCTGCATTCAAATGGATGGTGAAATATTAGTTAAGGGTTAGTTTGGGAAAGGAAAGTTTACCCTTTTCTTTAAAATTTCTGGGGGTGTGGGGGATTCCACAAACTTCCTTGGCAATTCGTGTCAATAGCTCTTCACTCTCCAGACTTTGTCTACTATGCCTTAGAAATCACGTCACCCTCAAAGTTTATTTTACCCTTGGATTGCTCACGGTAGAAGCACCCTCCACCCCTGCAGCCTCCTCCTCTGATTGATTGATTTCTTCTGGGACCTCCACATTAAGGAAGAAATTCAGAGTTGCTATGTTTTCATTCCTCTTGAGTCTGCACTCCTGACTCTTCAGACTTTTCTTACCATGTGCCTGTATAGATGCCCCCCACTTCTAATCTCCCTCTTCCCCTCTCCATTAGAATGTAAGCTTTTTGAGGGCAGGGACCTTCTTTCTCTCTGCTTGAATTTTCATCCCCAGTGCTTGGCACATAATAAGTACGTAATAAATGCTTGTCAACTTGATTTGATTCATTTACCCTTAAAATAAAAATGTTCTTCCTAATGTCTCACCTAGACTCTACCTGTGACAATTTAAGTCCTTTCTCTACTCTTCTGTCCTCCGTTTATAGAAAGGGAAAAAAACTGCCAATGACTTCTTCTTGAACATGCCTCCCCATACATGGTATCTTTTTTTGGTGTGAGATTGGCAGAGTAGTCACTTCCTGCTTCCCACCAGGGGTGGTGACAGAGTCATTTTTGACCCAGTGTGGTAACGAATCCGAGACCTAGAGTCAGAAAAGACCGAGGTTCACACCCAGTGTCTGACACTTGTTGGTCTAATAACTTTGGGCAAGTCACTTGCTGTCCCCAGGACTCAGTTCCTTCATCAGTAAAATGAATACCTCTGCACCTGCCTCAGAGCTGTTGTGATGGTCAACTGCAATGACGCGCTAAGTGCTTTGTAAACAAGAAAGCTTTCAGTCCTTTGGTTATATTTCTGTTGTTAGAGCAGAGCTTATGTCTACTTTTTCTACCTAGGTGATTGCTGAGGAGTTGTCGGGTAATGATGACTATGTCGAACTGGCATTCAATGCACGGAAATTGGATGACAAGGTAAAGGGTTTGGTATTAACCTTAGCAGAAGATGTGATAAAGCCAACGCAGTTTAATGACATTGTCACACACATACACGCGCACGCACATGCACACGGAGCTATTTTTTTCTTTCAACTGCTATTAATCAGATCAAAGATTCCAGATCAATGAGCGAAGGAGTCTTTCTCAAACTTGTGAAGCAATTAAAAGGAAGGCCGGGGATTATAATGAAAACCAAGACAATTTAATTACAGACAAGCCGCATCCATTTCAAAATGCCGGAGACCAGAAGGGTCACACAGGGCTTGGGCCGACCCCACTGCTCTTCCTCATATTAACTCTTTGTATGTTTGGCATTTACATATTTGTGTACACAGTGTTCCTTACCCCCGGAGAATTCTGGTTTTGTCTTTATCTCCCCAATACCTAGGACAGCGCCTTGCTATAGTCAATGCTTGACGTTTGTTAAAGGACTGGCCCTTCTAAGTGCCTAACCAGAGGGATTACAAAGCTCGAAACTTCTTGGGTGAAAGACGTTTTAGTGACCAAGAGATCTCAGCTGAGACATATCAGGAGATGGAACTCTCTAAGGAAAGGCAACCCACTTGACTTCTGACTCTGTCAGCCATTTCTGGAACCGGATCAATATCAGCCGTATCCCCAACATGTTTATTTCTCCTTGGGCTTCATATTCATATCATTACCTTTAAATTAGTGAGTTTCTCCTAATCCTATTTTGAAATGACTTGGTGATATCAGTTAAGGTTCTCATAGACAGAATCGGGGAGCTAGAAGGCATCTCAAAAGTCATGAAGTCCAACTGTCTCATTTTCCTGAGCTGAGACCCAAAGGTAAAGAGACTTGTCCAAGGTCACAAAGCTGTTTAATGGAAAAACTGGGTTTAGAATTCCAGTTGTCTACCTCTCAATCTAGCATTCACCATGTTTCCTCGCCTCAGCCCTTCACCCCTCCCACAACTCCCCTTCTTTAGATGCAGAAAATGATGCACAAAGAGGGTAATGCTTCATCCCACTTGGAGTCTCAGGTCTGCCACTTAATAGCTGTATGACCTTGGATCAGTAACTTAAAATCTGTAAACCTCCTTTTCTTATTCTGAAAATGAGGACATTAATACTTGCATTAAGTCACATTGGTGCTGTTGGAAGGTACCATATACATGCTATTTTTTTTTCCTTTTAGAAGTAAAGTTCCATGAGGTCTCAATTTATCTAGACCTTGTCAAGTTTTCAGCACCTGGCACAAAAAATTAGGACAAAGCCCCAGTTAAAAAATATAATGGATACTGGAGAATGGCTGAATACATTGCAATATGGACATAATATTTTTGTACCTTAAGAAAAACATGATTATGAGAAAGGAACACATGAGAAGACTTGTATGAACTAAACAGTGAAATAAGCAGAATCAGGAAACAATAGACAAAATCACTACAATGACATGATGACAAGAACACTGAAATGAAGCCCAATGCTATATAATAATAACAGCTGATATTGGCACCAGAGAAATGATAGGGAAATACACCTCTCTTCTTTCCTTAGAGAGATGAAGAGAGGAGGGGTACTATGGGTGCAGAATGTAGCACACAATATCCAACCTGATTGGTATGTCAGTCGCCTTTTATTAATTGGTTTCTTTTGTTATGAGGAAGCTTCATTGGATAAGTCAGTGTGGATGTGTATATCTGGAAGTGATTGTGATATAAAAAGCACCAATACATTTTTTACTAAAAATAATACCTAAGAAATGTTGAAAGACCTGATTTGGAGAAGGAGCTCAAATTAATGGCGTTGGTATTGACTGCTTTCCACTTTCAAGAGTTATACTTCCCTCTGGGCCATAGCTCAAGGTTTCTGCTGCTGCCTCATAAGAGTGAAGATATTTTCCTGAATGCTGGAAAATTTGGCACTCCACACTAGGGAGTGCTTAATCAATTAGTCAACAAGTCCTTATAAAGCATTTAGCATATGCCAAGCACTAGACTAGGTGCTAGAGATACCAAACCAAAACTGAAACAGTCCCTGCCCTCAAGCATCTTGCATTCCATTTGGATAAACAATATGTACAGAGATAATTGAATACAAAATATATGCAAAGTAAATAGGAAGGGAAATTAGCAGCTGGGAAGTTGGGAAGAGGTTTCGTGTAGAAGCTGGCACTTCAGCAGAGCGTTAAAGGAAGCTTGGGTGAGTAAGCAGTGCCTTCAGGGCCTGGAGACAGACAGAAGATGGATGGAAGTATTCCAGGAACCTCAGAAAGACCAGCTGGGCTAGAATGTAGAGGGTACCAAATGAAGTAATGTGCAATAAGCCTGGCTAATCTTTAAGTGCCATAGGAGTTTGTATTTAATCCTGAAGGTAATAGGGAATCATGGAAGCTTGTAGAGCAGGGACATAACCTGGTCATGCCTGTGTTTTAGGAACATCACTATGGAAGCTGTGTGGAAGATGGATCAGAGAGGGGAGAGACCCATCGTAGGGAGACAGTTGGGAGGCTTTTGCCCAGATTAAGGTCCAGGTGAGAATAGATGAAGATCTAAGCCAGGCTGGTGGTCCCATGAGTAGTGAGAAAAGGATAGCTGCAGGGGATGTTGTGGAGGTACAACTGCCTAATTCAAGGCAATGACTAGGTCATAGGTGATAAAGCTCTGGACCTGGAGCCAGGAAGAACTGAGTTCAAATCAAGCTTCAGGCACTAGCTATATGACCTTGGGCAAGTCACTTAACTTCTATTTATCTCAATTTCCTCAACTAAAGAATGGTGATAATAACAGTACCTAGGTCCCAGGGCAGTTGTGAGAATCCAGTGATGTAATATGTGTAAAGTATAAAACCAAAGATACTAGGCGAATATTAGCTACTATTATTATTTCTTGACAATGGCTACAACAGTCTTATGTTGCTGTGGAGGCATCCATCCAGTTTTGACAGCTGAGTAAATATGGAAGGCATCTGAATGGCCTCCTAAAGTGGAAATGGGTGTATGAGGCAAGCTAGTACATTCTGGGTGCCGTTATGAAACAGAAAGATGTTAACAATAAGCAAAATGATGAGCATATTATAGTGCCTTAAGATTTACAAAGCAAAACAAATATTACTTTATTTTAACCTCACAACTCCCCTGGGAGGTAGGCGTTATCCTATATTATACATTAAGTATATAATGTATATACTTACATACGTATATTGATATATATTTAATGTATAAATAAATACTGATATAAAATCACCATTTTACGGATGGAGAAAGTGAGGGAGACAATTATGTGTCTTAGGCCAGATTTGAATTCACATCTTCCTGACTCTAGGTCCAGTACTCTATCCTCTGGGCTGCCCAGCTATACATTGTTAATATCGTGGAGGACTCAGACCAAGAGTTCTTAATATTTTTGTATCATGGATCCATTTGACAGTCTGGTGAAACCTATGAGCCCCTTCTCAAAAGACTGTTGTTGAATGTCTACAATAAAATAGATAGGGCTACCAAGGAAACTAGTTATGTTAAGATGGTTATCAAAACATTTTTAAAAAAAACAAGTTTAGGGGCTCCAGGTTAAGAAAATCTACTCTAGACATTTAGCAATGTCAAATTTCTATGATTATCTGGATTTCAAGGAGAATAACATCATTTCACATCTGTTCTGGGACAGCACACAGGGAGGACATAATCATATTCACTATGGTAGTAAGGGATAAGATTCCCCCAGAATGAAATTCAAATCAACTCCATTAGTCACTTCTACAGAGAAGTCCTCCTTGGAGACTCCAGAGGACTGGAATTGCCCTCTTGACCACATGTTAAGTTTTCCACCTTGTTCTTTGTGTGTTAGAAGGAAGCCTGAAAGAGGTGATGAAAAGGGATTTACTGTACTTCAGGACTTGAAGTGGGTGGTAAGGAAGGGCTACATTGAAGGATCAGGGTTCTGATGGCTTTGACTCAACACTGCAGAGGTCACTGATCGTATCCTCTTGGATTGCCACCATATTTGGCACAAGTACTTCTAAAGTCAAAACATTCTGAAAATGTCCCTACCTCTTGACCTCTCTGGATGGGGCAAGAGTGAAGGGGGAGGAGCAATTCAGAGAGTTGGGGAGAGACCTAAGTCCCTTTCAAGCTGAGTGATTTCCTTCATTTGGTCAGGGCTGAGCCTTGGACCCTGGCTTCTAATAGTGCCTTGAGACTATTGCAGATTGGACCTTAAGCAAGTCACTAACCTCACTGGGCTTTAGTTTCCTCATCTATAATATGAGAGGGTTGGCCTAGATGACTCCAAAAGGCTCTCCCATATCTAGAGCTATGAGCAATTCATTTGTGAAGCCCCAAAGACTACCACTTTCATCTTCCCTTAAGAAAATAGGAATGGCTTCAACAATTTACCTTCACTGTAAATTGGTGTTCCTGAAAGTCATCACCTTCTTCCAAGTAGACTTGAGTCTTGGGATGCAGCTTGATGGAAAAGGACCTTGGCAGGAGGGGGGTAGCTGGGAGTAAAGTGCAAACAGTAGATGCATTTGAAAGTCCACATCCTTCAAGAATGTCAGGATACTCTTGGCAGGTTTACCGAATGAAGGCTACTTTTAGTAACGTGAGTGGTGCCATTTTAGTTTTGTCCAAGATCCAAAGAGAACTCAATACCTTGAACACGGCACTGGTGTTTTTCAGAATAAGGCCAGTGAAGGTGCCCCATTCTTTGTCCCATTCTCCTGAAAATGATTCTTACAAGTCAGAGAAAAGAGTCTGTTAGAAAACCTTAAAATCCAATCAGTTGATCCAGAAATGGCTTGTAGCTGACACCGAAAATGTTTATTGGGATGTTTATAGCACCCCAAAAATCATCTCTAATCCCCTCCAAAAGCAAATCTCAGCTTCCTTAGGTGAACAAGATGGGGAGGAAAATGAGAAATTTTCAAAAAAAAAACCCAACTAAGCATAAGGCTATAGCAATCTTGCTGGTCAAGTACAGGATGAGAGTGATAAAAATAGCAAATAGCACCTCA